ACGACTTTATTTTTTTTTATACCAAAATAAAACTGGGGATCAAAGTTATTTGAGATAATTTTTTTTTAATGATGATCATATAATAATTTATTAGCTTAATTCTACATCATTTATTTTTAAATTAAGATAATTCTCTTTTAAATTAAATATTGCAGATCTTTCTGTAAAATATTCATTAAGGTAATAAGCAAAAATAGAATTACTCATATAAATCATATTTGTCATCTAAAGGATATCTAAAAAAAAGGATTCTTAATTTAAACATTCAATATTTTTTTTTTCTTTTCTATAATAATAACTAAGAAAAAAAAGTTCTATATAAAAATTTCATGTCAAAGCAAAAATAATCAAACTTTTTCTTTTTACCTTACTAGTATTTTTAATATGCTATTACTTTATTTAATTTCCTGAAAGGTTATTTCCTTCTTTATTCTCACTTAAACATATACAAAAAAGTACCTTCGAAAATCTTATATTTGATCGTGGATATTTTCCATTGTGACAAGAAAAAAATCTGTATTCAATAACGCAAACGAATTTATTAATGTCATATATGATTAATGAAGTATGGAGTATAAAAAATAACAACTGTATTAAATTATGATTCCAATCTTAGAAAAATCAATTCTCGGGTTCATTAAGACTGGTGTATAAGCGAAAACCTATAGAAGGATCAGTCTCATCAACAGACAGTCCATACGTTAACAGTTGAGCGGCATCGTGCGCTTTTCAGCTTTCATAAAGGGATGAATAAAGGGGTACCACCTTGGCAAGCCGCCAGACAGCAAGTAACTTATTATATCTGGCATTAAATTATTATAGAGACCTTACTACCTCCCCTCTTGCATACAATGGGTGCTGTGAAGTGCATAGGAAACGATTAAATCCAATAGTGAATTCTAGAATTCTGTTTTCGTAGCTCATATGTAGCGCGCTTTTTTGCACAAAAGCTAACGACTCCCTACTACTCAACAAATTTAATGAGGACATGTGTTTGAACTTTAACTCCATTTAATGATGATAATTCTCATGAGCACATTTGTTTCGCAATATTAAATGCATTATTTATATATTTTTTATATAAATAAGTCTTATATATATATATATATTGATTTTGTAATTTGTTTTTCACTTTAATTAAACAGATGTAAAAAATTGTTAATGGTTGGTTTAGAACGTATTTGAAATATATTCAAAACTTATAATTCTGAATGGTTTTTAATTTCTTGAATATTGGATATATTCTGAAGTTTTAATTATTTATCGAATGATTTCGAATGAAGTCTAAAATACATTGGAGAATATACCAATATCCAAGTAAAATGTTTGATGAAATTCTCAAAATAAACCAATTTCCTATAATTTACAGCAATTATAAAATAATCTTGTGTCCATGAAATTCAATATATTCGAATTTAATTCATTGTATTGTAATCAATGATACTTTCAACTTATCAACAATTGAATGTTTAATTAATCGATACAATTTTTAACCGTCCCAACTACGTTAAATAATAAAAATTCATTGAGCTTTAATTATAGTTGTCATAACTATAAAATAATTCTCTTAACTGCAAATAAAATAGGTATCGTATCTATCTTGTCATGACAAAAAAATAATAGTTGGACTAACTTTTCTGATTTTTTTAGTAATAGAATTAAATAAAAATACTATTATCTTGATTTGTATTGAATTTTTTCTTTAAACTTTAATTACTCAATGGAAATAAATTCAAATGTTTCTCGCTGTACCAAACATCGGTTACGCCTGACCATTTGTTGAGCTTGACTACTGAACAATGGTAAAAGAGGAATCTGTATCGAATATCCTCAACTAGAAGGGTAGACGTCGGTTTTATTCTTCGAAGGGGATGAAGTACTCTTTTGTAGCATCTGTTGGATAGATTATTGATTTGTTTATCCACTGGAGTTAATTCTGAAACTGAGAACAAAAATTAAATTTGTGTTCTATTTCATCAACTCCCGTAAATATGTTGATATATTCCTGTATTTTCTGCCTTGAATTCTATTGTTCTCTAGTATTACTGGGAAACGTTTAAAGAGTTTATAAATTCACTTGAACAATTCATTTATGGTAAATTTTGGGAAACATTTGTGCCTCAAAGTCTATTGAAAAGTTTAGAAACTACTGTATCTATGAGTTAAAGATATTTGATGAAAGAAACTCGGAAGAGATTTCAAACTTATACACATTTATTTTGTATAAGAGTTGAGATTCTACAACAAGTTAAACACATAAAGATGTTTTAATACAAGTATGGATGTACATTTGAGAAAGTAAGAATGTATCTATTAAACATGAATCTTAAGTGAATACCCTACATAAATAGGTGAAGTGGTTCTACTTATGCATATAGAACTGTTGCGTTTGAAGGTGAAAAAAGTTTTTTCTGGACAGAAATCTTTTTATGATGCTTTTTACTTTTCTTACAAAACATTAAAATTTTTTGTGATTTTCAAGTGAGAAAAAAAAAGGAAGTTTTAGATAAAATAAAAGTTGAGAAAATTAAGGAAACCACTTAAGTAGAAATTCTTGAGCTCGTGTAAAACAATATAATTTTTACTGGTTTGTAGATATTTTTAATTTACTAATAAAATACTTCTTGAAATTTGTTCGGATAAAGAAAGAATTTAATTAATCGACTCAACTTTTTTATACCATTAAATAAAGAAATTTTTTACCTAGAAGTTTCAAGAACTTGAATCATTTCCAATTCAAAAAGAAGTTATGTTTATTAATATTGAAATGAAATAATCGATTACTTTTAACAAAGTTCACTAAAGTTTTCTTGATATAACTAAAAATTGATCAATTATCAAACTTTAATAGACCTTAATATGTAATACTAAATCGAGCTTTTTTATTAACTCGAAAACTTATCGTACATTTACAAAAGCTTTACTGCTCTAGATTTACCCTTCATTAGTTAAAGATAATATGTGAAATAAAAATTACTCAAAAATAGTAATTAACCTCCGGGAAACCTAAAATTACTTAGCCAATCGAGTTATGGAATTAAATCGATGATTAATTACTCAACAAAAACTTATGTAAACTATTAACTACAAAGAAAATGTATGAATATTAATCTTGAGTTAAATGATTGACATACTAAGCTTTAGTAATTCCTAATTAAAATTAGTTGTATTGGACTAAGCATGCTAATTATGCTGCGTTTATGATTTATGATCAAAGAACGACTGCTATGGCTTGTTAAGTTGAAAATAGATTCTAAAATAGCTTTTCACTTAATAGTAAAATAAATATGAAAAAAGTGTAATTAGTTGAATGTACATTTATATGTTGCAAAGAACTTTCAATGTACGTATAAGTGATTTCCAACACTCTTGCATCCTGTATCCTATGCTGTAATGTTCAAGCTCCATTATGTCAGTGTACGACGGGTAATCTGGTAATAGCTTGTCTGCAAGTGGCCCATTTTTCAGACCGTACCAACTCGTTAACACGCGAGTCTCCGCCTTCTTGTCTCTTTTCTCCAGTTCCGAAATGATGGGTCCACTTGGGAGAATAGCCAGTTGACCTTTGTGAGACTGATTAAATGACTCTTTTGTCATTTATTTTCAGTGACGTATTTGGATTATATTTAAAAAATTTTATCCAATCCTGACAAAAATGTACATTTGTTTATAACATGTTTTTGTCAAAAAGAACCTTTATTCTGTTTAGTTTAATTGCTTTCGTTAGATTACCATTCATGCTAGAGATAATATTGAAACATCAACTTTCTTTGTGACTCTCTTGGGGGAAATTATTTAAAAAAAATTAAGGTAAAGTAATTAACGCTTGTCACGACTGTATAATACTATAGAAGGTAAAATTACTTTAAGGTTCATTTATTTCTTGTCAATAAGAATATTAAAATGTACAGATTAATGACAAATAATTTTCCTCTGGAATATTAAAATGTTCTCTCTATTTTCTATGCTCTAGTAAAAATTAATTACGTAATGTGCAACTTGGTTACTTTGTTGAAGTTATTGTTTAATAAATATCACCAGATGTTAATGAGATATTTTTTTGTTGGTTAAATTTTTAACAAATCAAGCTTCTACAGTAACCTTAATGAACTAAAAAATTAAAAGAAAAATCTTTTGTATTGAAGAAATCAAATTTTAATAATATCTACTTGTGTAAAAAAATTTTTATAATTAAGTTTTTATTAAAAGAAAAATTTTCATAAAATTTAAAAATGTTTGCAATTAATTTTTTATAACAGTAGACTTTTTACCTATTCTGAAGTGTACTGTAATTCATTGCATGTATTATATCTAAAGAATAAATTGTTCTTAAAAAATTTAGATTATTCAACTCAGAAAAATTCAAACTACTCAACTTGATCATGTACTAAAGTTGCAACCCGGAAAAAATAATAGATATCGTTGAAAATTTCATTAAAAACAAGGAAAACTTTTCCACTGTTATTATACCATTATTGCAGTTAATTTAAAGTTTTTACACACAAGTAAAAATAATTGTGATATTTTTTGATCATAAAGGATTTACCCAAAAGTCTGGTTGTTCAAAGATTAAAAAAAATTAAAACTGCAATATGGAATTAATTAAAAGGAGAAAAAAAAAAGATTTTCAAAACTCTAAACATTTTTCTTCCGACCTAAATAATAACTGAAGTCTCTATTAAGTGAAACAATGTTATCGCATTCGTTAGAAGATTTTGCGATAAAGATGGGGCGGGAAGCATCTTCGAAGAAAATCATGACATTATGGTCCTTTGAACGACTTTGGAATAAAGACGCAAAACAAAAGCAAATGTCAACGGATACACAATAAGAGGAAAGGGTGATGAATTGAGAGGTGCTGTGTGACTTTGTACATAGGTTACGAGAACATTTCAGTGGTTGCGCCGAAGATTTTATCCGACGCAGTGGTGGTCAAACGCATGCGCTCTTCTTCTAACAACTCCCGCAGAGTCATTCCGCACGTTACAGTGTCGCGAGTTGAGTCATCCCATGCGTCTGTCGTTCTCTGGTGTCTCGGAGCAAGTTTGAAACCGGCGCGAAAACTTTTACGTTGTTTTATATTGTTCAAAAATTTATATTAATCCCTAAGACATTTTCCACATAAATTAGCCATTCCAATGGGATAATCCACCATCTGATTTAAATTTATCTTCATTGTTACCAATTAATTTATTTGTTTCGTTACTTTGTCTATAGTTCTCTAGAGATTTCAGAGTAAACAAAACAAAAAAACAAATTGTCATTTTAATTTTACTAATAAAATGTTGGTATGTAAATATAAAAAAATGACCATTTTAAAAGCAAAATTGTTTAATATGATTTTGTGTAATCGACGGAAGTGTGTGATACATAAAAAAAAATCGAAAAATGTTCTCGAATACTGAACGGTCTTAGGAATCATTAAATTATTCGTGCAGTGTCGAGAGTGTCTTGTCACGGTGTGAAAGTGTACAGATGTCAAAGATCAAGGAAACCAGATCAAGAGGTGGTTCATCACAGCAAAGGGGACAATTACCCTGCCATCAATCACCGATAATTCAACCTACTTCACGTCTGAGTAAGATGCCTTGCAGTCTACTATTTGGACTACTACTTCTGATGGAGATGCATTCAGCGCAAGGTAATGAAATGTCACATTAAATTTGACGTTGAGAAATAGTTAAGAAAAATATCTTAGAATAATTGTAAGTCACACCAAAACTATTCTGACTATACAACAAAATTAATGCCGTTTCGACCCGGTGCTGTTGCTAATTGTGTCTCTTGTGTTTTTCATATTCATGAGTAAACCACACTGGTTTCCATGAATCCCATGTTTTTTTAATGCCCTACTGCAGCATCTCTTGAATGTTTGAGGGAGGAAGTAATGTCCGAGATGGTGTAATAATCAGCTTTGCACGTTTGTGAATTTATTTTGTTGCGTAACAGTCTTTTAATGAATGCTCATCTGCATTAATAGATTCTATTTTATTTTGATTAACATTTCACAGAAAAATTAACATATCATCATAATTATTTACCTTTAATCAACAAACGAAGAAATGAAAGAGCTTTTTATTAGCTTACTGGCTTTTATTGTGAGCTTATATCAAATTCATTATCGAACGAAATTAGTAGTATTCGAAAATTCCTATGAGATTACAAATGAAGAATTTCATTGAAAAATTTTTGCATTAATTATCTTGTGTTTGATGTTGAATATTCTTGTATGTACTTAGAAAAGTTTAATGTACGTCACAAAAAGAGATAGTAACTATGATTGTACATTGATCATACATCAGATATGTATGAGGTGATTCTTTCAATAAGACAGGATATGTAGATATTAATCCCTCTCAAATATTGTATAAAATTGTAAATTTATACTCTTAATTAAAAATCCCTCTTCGTTTCAATATAAAAAAATTTGTTTTGATTTCCTCGCACAAAGTGTTTTAAAAATAACTCCAAACATTTAAAGTGGTTCAAAGCATTTAAATTGTCAAATTTATTTCTACAGTCGTAAAATAAAAAAATATTGTAAAAAAGTCGTGTGAAATATAAAAAAAATGTTTGACACGAATCATTGAAAGAGAGATGTTTTTAACTTTTTTATATTTTTTTCTTCTTTTTTTTATGGAGAAAATATTTGAATGATTTCGATTCAATCTTTTGGCTTATAATAAATAATTGATATAGAAGGATTGTAGATAATATTAAAAATTTATTATCAACATTTCTTGAATTCAAGGTAAAAAATTATTTTCCATTTCTCCAACAATTGTATTGATGGATATATTTGATTCTTTGATATCAAATATTACACTTTATCGAAGTGCTCTTCACAATAAAAGTTATGGAGAAGAAGAAATTTTATATTTTATAGGATTTAAATGTTTTTAATTATTGCATGGATATTGAGGTTTGTTTTTAGAAATGCTTTGGTCTATACAGATCACAATATAGTATGTGATGGAATAAAAAAAAATATTATGTACTCCATAAATAAAATCTTTGAAGTGAAATCAGTTCTTTAGTGTATAAAAGCAGTAGCCTGTTTTGTACATTTGCATCCTGTAGATTGATAAAAAAAGTATATATATTTTTTATTATTATTTTTAGTGCAATATTGCAATCACAACTTTGGTGAAGTATGAATTCGCTCGTGAAATAAAATTTTATGATGTCACTTGAAAGAAAAATTTTCAAATCAAAACCTTGAGTTTAGTTGGAAATCGTTGAGTAATCATGGTAATGGTAAAAAAATATTTATAGAGCAGTTTTCATTATTAAAAAAAAAAAATATAAAATTCTTATGCTTTGTCGGCGAAAATATAACAGCAGGAGAGTGAGGAAAAAGTTTTCTCGAGAGTGCTGTAGAGTGTCGTCGCAGGCTGATAAATGTCCCTTAGTAACGTGCCCAAGATTTTCAATTGGCACTACCAATTCCATAAGGTCTAGGCTTCTTTAATTCAATATCAATCACTTTTAAAAAACTTTCAGCAATAAACTATTTTCTATAACAAGGACTTTATCACGGTAAGAGTTTATTTGAATTTTAAAGTTAACTTTTTAATTTACTATTAATTTTCATTATCTATCAAAATATCATTCAATAATATTAAAATTGTGTTTACACAAATACATATGAACTTATCTCCTGCTTTATACCTTTTATACTTAATTAAATTTGAATTTCACATTAAACGATTTTTTTTATGTTTCACTTGATTAAGTTATTACTACTTTTAACATCTATTTTAAAAAAAGAGATTAAAAGACTTCCTTTAGACAACATTCAATTAATATTAATTAAATAACAATTTCCAATAAAGTAATTTTTTCTTTAACGAATTTAACTCGTTTTTTATAAATACTAACGAGTTTGATATTGATCTGATGTTACTTGCAATTTTAGAGTGACATTATTTACAAAATATTTTACTGATCATCTCAATATAAATTTTAAACCACCATTTCAATAATGCTATCAAACGAAATTTGATAGAAATGTATAACTGTTATATTTTTTTGATATATTTAATTAAAAATGAATCCTTTGATTTGGTTGATAAAAAGTATTGAATTTTATTTTCAATAGAAAACATGATCTTTTAAATGAATAAACTCTACATGCAGATTGATGAAAACATGTTGATGAAGAGTTTTTGGTATTTCCAGTGAATTTTGGTAAAATAAATTAGGCAGTTTGCTAATTTAGCTGTTAGTGAAAAAGATAAATGGTTAAATCTGAAAATTAATTAGTATTCAAAGTTCATTTTTTGGTAACTCTTTTAATATTCATGTTTAAAATTAATTGTGGTAAAATATCTATACTCATTAAATTTTTTTTTTCAATTAAATGTAAAATATTTTATCAGAGTAAGTATGAAAAGTGTGTCGGGGATGAAGTAATTAAATCCAATAAACAGATAAATACGAGGATCAAATGAAATAAACACGATAGATGGGATATTGTGTGAATTAGTTTGGTCATTAAAAATGAGGTTGAGAGTGGTCGTTAAAAAGTACAACATCTCTGTGAATTTCTCATTGGTGCATCACATGGATGTTACTTGCCGCAACCATTTGTAGCGGAAGTGAGAGAGAACAAGAGTAGCAGAGAAGTAGAAATGCCAGGTTGTTGTTGGGTCACCACTCGGTCTTGTCACACCACGAGTTCGGGATTATCCCTTGGAGGCAATTAACTGCTACTGATTTGGAAAACGAGGTAAAAACAAGCCATGAGGATAGCAAGATACTGAAGCGAATCAACGTGAGAATGGGTGTTAGCAAGCAAAGAGTAGGAGTGATGTAAAAAAACCCGCGTTACACTTTGGTAACAACTCGGAAAAGGCCACTTGGACTTCTTCTCGTGCCGGCAAAGCTTTCGAGCGGCTGCCGACGAACGATACCAGGATACGATGTTAAGTAGTTTATGTGGCACAAGAGCTATCGCTTTACGACACTTTTACCATGCCGTGAATAGACACTCGTTCCACTTTGCTCCTTATTTCCCTCTGCTCTTCAACCCTCTCTTCACTTTGTACAAATGCAACTCGTCTTTTATTTACCGCCTTCATGGAGCCAATTTCTATTTTTCCTGTTTTTATTGTATATAAATTTTTTTCCTCTATGACTCTTTTGATATATCAAAGCAAAATATTATCGTCATTTAATTCATTTCTCGGATTTTTCCATATTTACATACGTTTGATTATTGAAATTTTCATTAACTTTGATGAAATATAGATTCACATTTTTTATTCCTATCGTCTCATTTTATTTATTGCTCTTATAGTGTCAATGAATGTATCAAATTGTTAACAGTGACAGCAGAAGTACGAACAAGAGTATCAGGACATAGTGATAAATTTTTTTTTTCAACCAACACGTGAAAGTCTCATCATTTCCGCTAACTAAATTCGAAATCCCATCAACTAAGACTCTATCACATGGATGAAAAAAAACTTAACGATGATCCAGTGATCCCGACTTACGGTTCGTACGAGAGTAGATTAATTTTTTTTTAAACTACCATTCTAGAGAATAACATTGCATAAAGTAATAAAAATGTGCGAATTTGTTCTTCGCATCATCTCCTTTTATTACCGTGACATAATTTTCTAAAACAAAAACTCCTGATTCCTCTCTTTTCTAAGCTTTTACAAGTTCGTGTTGAGTTCTACCGTGTAATTGCACAAACTCTCCTTCTCACTCACACTAAACTCCGGAAGTCGCTGAAAGTCTGATCAGTAATTGAACCATACTACTACTTCGACTACGCTCCCACTATATATACGAAAGAGAGTCGACTATAAATGATCTGATTTACTAACTCTAACATCTGCGGTTTGTTTTATCGAGTTTATTGTGTGGAATTATATTTTATTATATATTACTTGGGATTAGAGACGTTGGTTAAAACACGCGATTACGGGTTAGCCGATAAAGGTAGCAAAAAGCAAATCCTGACCTGGACAAACTTTTTGGAGAGCCATTAAAGTTTCGCACCCTATTGCTTTCAGAACATTGGTGGTTACTGCTTTAGAGAGCTGCTCTCGCTTCAGTGAAGCGAACAAAAAAAAATTTCAAGAAGGGTCGAAAGAGAAAAAATAAACCGAATAAGGAGAAAGAAGAAGAAGAAGAAGAGAAAAAAGAGAAGTAAAGTTTCCTGGTGCACGTGTGAGCTCTCATTGCTTGCAAGCTTCTGAAATATGCCTCGATTCTACGACGACTACTTCAATTATGGAATTTTTCGAGTCACTGCTGGGTGTCTGATAAATAAAACAACGTTCTAATCTCAGTGGTGAACTTTTACGTGAGCATCTCTACACAGGTCGAGTGTATCGTAGCCATTATGTATCCTTTCGGATCAGGCCCCCCATGCAGTGCTCAGGGGCACCCACAGCCACTTGGCTGTCCAACAAGTTGATCTAGTGCCCCAGGAGAGGTCCCTTGCTCTCGTTGGAAAAACTGACATTGAATTATATCGCTGAATAACCGCAAATCTCACAACTTTTTCTTTACTTTATGAAGAACTAAAAATAGTGTTTACTCTCGACGTTTTTCTTTATCTTTTGGCTCTTATTTTTCTTATGCAATAATTTTATATTCAAGTATTGATAACAACTACGGGTG